TTAAATCGTTCGTAACAATAAGTATAAACAGAAAAAATTTAATAAATATAATAAGAAGTAATAACAAATTTGAATAATATATACTTTTTATAAACATTTATTTCGAGCTCATTTTTTATTATTAAGTTATTTAGTAATAATCAAAGTGATTGTTATAAATATTCTGAACAAATATATATTATTATTTTTATTGGTATTGCTTTTTGATTTTACTATGAGATGTAATTAGTGTTACAGTGTATCGTAAGTTAATGTTAATTGTATAGTAATATTATTTATTTATTGATTGATTTATTATTATTATTATTGATATTAAAAGTAATAATAATAATATATTAATAATAGTATTGATATTCATTCTTACTTTTGGTATGATTAAATACCTATTGAAATTAGATCAAAACTTTGTTTGAAGAGTGCTGCTGACAGCACAAAAAACATTTCAATTAGTTCGCAACAACCGGACACAACCAGCAAACTAACGCCTTATTTATTCGAAGGTTTTTATTTCTGTAGAAATTAATTAATGAATAATATGCAAATTTTATCTTAGGTAAATTTTTAAACTTTTTTTGAACAGAATAAATAATCGAAAAATGTGAATTATTTCACTCGAACTATTACAAACAATAAATTAATGCAATAAACTGTTATTTTTGCCAAAAAATTAATGACTATTTGCAGGGGATATACTGTTATCAACGAAACAAGCAGTAACGTTATTAAATACATTGGCTAGTAGTGATGCAAAGAATAAGAAAGACAGCAGGCGTCGGCTGGCTCAAGATGCTCCATTTTATCTCTTCAGAGGCTATTCACACAAGCGGAAGAAACGTTTCAGTTCTGATCCAGAAGCAAAATGGATCAGTTTTCCGATTAAATATCGATTTGATGAATCTCTTGGTGAATAATATTTTAATAATTTCAAGTTTTGCAAAGTTTATTTATTTTAAATAGTTCGCACTTTGTATTTTTTTTTTGCAAAAATTAATTTCAGTTAATATCGAGCATTTGAAAATTTGTAGAGATAGAAATAATTAAGTCCAAAGTTCTTTTTGCATAGTTTTATTTGTAAAACAAAGCTTTTTAAAGATGTAATGCACAATTTAAGGCATTCTTCAAATTAGCCAAATATTAGAAGCAGTTGGAATATGGCAAAATATTACATGCATTACTTTTGAAAATGATCAAAATGCGAACGGAGATTATTTGGAATTTTTTGAAGGTGATGGGTGAGTAGATCAGTGTTAACTTACTTAAGTTATTGCTTTGACTCTTTTTTTAACATATTAAATAATGGAATAAATTTTATCAAAATGAAAATTACTTGATTTAATTTACTTGAACAAGAACTGGTTGATTATGTGTAATATGCAATAAGTATAATTTGAAATTTATTTTAAGTTTCAGCCATTTTAAGCACCAAAGATTCTTATTTGTTTTACAGTTTTAACATTGAAAGGTAATTTAGGTGTTATTCAATGATAGGCCGTTTCGGTGGAAGGCAAGGAGTTTCTATTGGCAAAGGATGTGAAAGAGTAAATTTTTAATTGGTATAATTTTTTGTTTAACGAAATCAATTTTCACTTACGTTATTTAAGTGTAAAACAAAATTAGAAAAAGTATTATGCATGCCAAAAGAGAGCTGAAAATTTTTTACAATTATGGTGATATGCAAATTTATTTGCGAAAATTTTGTACAAGTTTTGCGTAAATTTCAGATGGGTATAATAGTTCATGAACTTGGTCATATGCTCGGCTTATGGCATGAACAATCCAGACCTGATGCTAGCAAGCATATAACAGTGGTTAAAAATGACATATTACCATCTTATGTAGGCGAATTTCTCGAAAGAAGCGTAGACGAAATAACTACTTTCAATGTACCCTATGATCTTGGCTCAATCATGCATTATGGCTCAACAGCATTTAGCAAAGATCAAAAGAGTAAGACACTTCTTACCAAGTAAGTATAAATAATTTAGTACTGAAGTTTAAAAAATAAGTAGTAGCAATTCAAATTAAAATTATGTCAACAATTAAAATTCAGAAATTGAAAGAGATTATAATTGAAAGAAATTATAATTGATACGAGGATTTTACTTTTTACTTTTGTAGAGATCCACTTTATCAGATGACTATTGGACAACGAGAATCACTATCATTTTATGATGTTAAACTGATAAATGAAGCTTACTGCAAAGGTCACCTGCATTGTTACCAAATTATATCAGTATAATCTTTCGATTTTATTCTGAAATTAAATGAATAATTTTAGTTAAAATGGTAATTTTTTAGGTCACTGCAAGGAAAAAGATTTATGCAAAAATGGTGGATATTTGAATCCCAGTAATTGCAGAACTTGCTTATGTCCCAGTGGTTTTGGTGGCTCCAAATGTGATGCATACGATGATAGCACTAAATGTTAGAATATTATAAAAATTAGTAAATTATTTGAAATCTTACTCATTTTGGAGAGTAAGTATACCTTTATGGTACAGTTAGACTGGTGCAATTAAAGAACGGTATAACATTGATTAATATTACCATTACTACTTTTATACCACTGCTATTACTGTTACTACTGTTATGATAATAATAATTATTATTATTTACTTTATACTTTTATATATTCTCACTTTTCGTCTTGCTTAAATTTTCAGCGACAAAATAATTTTACAAAAATTTTAAATTTATTATGATCAGATCAATATTTATCTTATCATTTTATCGCAATTCCATTATTCCCGACTTTAAAGTATGATAAGCTCATATAACCATTAAATACACTTGGTACTTAAGTAGAATGCTTTAGCAAGAGTACTTCAGCGAACATTAAATGTGGTGGGTCATTAAGAGCTGGTAATGACTGGCAATCAATTGAATCTCCAGGATATCCCAATGAATATCCAATTAATATAGCTTGTAATTGGCTTGTCGAAACTGATCAAGGCTAGATTTAGCTTGCAATTTTTAGAAATTTATATTAATTTCAACAATGAAAGCTTCTTCAAATATTTAAATTACGTTTTGTTTCAGTAATGTCCTTGCAGAAACACGAATAGAAATTAGTTTTGAACATGATTTTGGTATATTTTGTTCGAGCACTTGTGTTGATTATGTAGAATTGAAAATTGGCGATGACTTGGCTAATACAGGTTATAGGTAAAAATCAAAAAACAATTCACTGTAATTTTTTCAACCGTACTTAATTATAGAATGTTGGCAAGAACTTACTCAAGTACCTTTTAAAAAAATGTAAACGAAAATTTGCTATTTTTACACAAAAAAGTTGAAATGCATAAACTGATCAAAATAGAATTTAGAATATGTTGCTATGACAAGCCAGAAGAAGCACTGATTTCGGCAAAAAATCAAATTGTTATCATATTTCGAACAACGGTAGGCGAAGATATTGGTTTCAAGCTTCAGTTCCGGAAAAGTTAGTCAACGCTACTTGAGAAATTTTGAAAGTAACTCGAATCTTTGTGTCATATTTTATATCATTTCAGCTACAGAACCAGCTCGGACTACTCCTGTAATTTCCAAAACTACAGTAACAACAGGTGAATATAATCAATTTAAATATATGTACATCAGTACAGCACTCCCTATTCCAGATACTCAATTTATTAGTCACAAGTTCAGATTGTTCGCTAAAAATTCAGTACTCTGTGATTTTTTTTAAAATTTTCAATAGAATTTGGATTCATTAGTTAAGCACTGCTTGATAACCAAAAATTTTACATATAGAAAATACAAGACATTTCCAGCATATTTTAGAAAAGATATGTCATTAGTCGCTGAATACATTTCATTTTCAAAAGGAAAATTGAACACTTTTACTAAATATTAAATTATTAGCACCGCGCACAACCATAGCTGGAAGTGATATTTGGTCTGAATGGGGTCAATGGTCTCAATGTTCTCGACCTTGTGGTGGTTGCGGTATACAGTCTCGAGTGCGAATATGTCAAACAGCTCAGTGCAAGTAAACTCCAAATTATGGATCATCATTACTTTTATATAACCATGCAAGAAAAAACAACTAATATGCGACCACGATTTATTAAAAGATACAAATACTAATTTTGATAATTAATAAATCAATATGAAAAGGAACAATTCCAATAAAAGATTAGATGATAATAATGCAGAAGTGTTTTAGTGGAAAAAGCCAAGAATTTTCAACTTGTAATTTACAAGCATGCTCAATAGATCCTAAATGTGTTAATGATAAGTCGAGAAAACGAATATGCGCTGATGGTCGAAAGTGTGATAAGTAAGCTCACTCAATGAGTAATCATAAAGATAATAATGACAATTCCAATTGCTCTTTAATCAAAATCAATTAGTATTTGTAGCAAAAATTAGATATTACCAAGTTTTGTTACGGTACAAGACTTTAAACTCCCATCCTCGAGAATATGTAATAAAATTTACTCTCAATAACTTATTCAGGTGCTTATCAAATCTAAATTTAAGATGCATTACTTAACACTTATAAGCTTGAAATGTCGTGATTAATAGTTTATTTAATCCAATTTATTTTCAGACTGGCACATGATACGGCTTGCAGTCAACCAATTTGCTGTCCACCATTTTACAATGTTAATGGTAAATGTCAAAGTGACCAACCTGTATTGTCATTGCTTGGATAATTCTTATAGATGTTTCAACAATCAATTTAAAAAATTTTTTAACTAGCAAAGACAGACTTCAAGCTTTTATATTAGGAATTCATAGATTTTTTTGAAAACATTGTTATAATGAGTAATTTTAGAATTTCTTCTTAACTCTGCTTGCTTTGAGTTTTGTGAAAAGTTTTTACGTAAGATTCTCGATACTTTTGATCACGAATGATTTTATTTTTTTTGCGATAAATTTGTTAAAAAATTTTCAATGATGTGTAAAGAAGCGGACAAAAATAATTTAAAAAAGTTTTCATTTCAAAAATAACTCACTGACTGAATTTCAAATTTCAATGCTTTTTTTTCCAAAAATAAATATGAGATACAAACAGTACAAAAAATAATGAAGCAAAAAGCTAAAACACTTCAAAGCCGAACTTAATTCTGAATCAGTAACAAAATATTATAATTATCAGCGTTCGTATACACTATTATTAGAGCGCAACTTTTGAAAATTGCTCGAATTTGAGCTATTACAATGTCGTTTATTATTTAATGGCAAAATATCAAACTATGACCCGATTTTAAATATGAAAAGCATATTTCTGGCTAGTCCCGAAAATTCAACTTTTGCGAAATAAAACAGCAACTGTGCAAAAGCAAGCCTGACTTATTGAGAATGAATAAAATGGGTTAATGCGAAAACAGATGGATCGTTATTGTTGAATAACAAAGAAGATTAATTGAAACAAACGTTTATGGTCAACATACTACATTTCGAATTTGAATGCAGGGCAAACATCATCAGAGCCAGCACTAGAAAGCCTAAGTGTACAACGCTCGACCGAGCACCGTAAACTGATATTTGCTTTAGCCATTTCACCAGCCTAAATAATTAACATATCAGAATTAATAAACATTTCAAGATCAAAGAGACTTGACCATACAGAATAAAATAATTCAGCCACTCAAAATTGACCCAAAATGTAACAGACTTAATATTTCAGAACACTTTAATTTTATGGTAAAATATAAGAACAAAAAAGTTGCTGTAATATTAAGTGAAGAGGCCGTCAAGAAAGCAATGAATGAAGCTATAAAAATTTTTTTAACATACAACAAATTGAGGGAACTTGAAATATTCAGACCGCAACAGATTCGACAATTAATGAGTTCTTTAATACCTGCCTCGTGCAATAAGTTTCCAGATTTGCTTGTGGTTAATTTTTAACCATTTATCATTCACTTTCCTGATCAGACTCATTCATAATACTTTCAGGACATTTTTGTTACTTTTTAATTTGAAGTGTGCATACTTTTTCATAGCTATATATGATCAGTTGTTCACTGTCGTGTGTAGGAAGCACATCCACTTCGAGCTCTATAAATTAAAAGCTGGTAAAATACCCAAAAACTTCACATTATCATCTTAAATCATTTCGAATTTTTTGACAGAAGCTGACGGAGTCAAAAATTACAATTTCTACTTCATGATTTCACATGACTTGGTTTAATAAAGATCATTAAATAAGTGATAAATTAAAGGGAATAAATTGAGATTACCAGGCTTATTCCAAGCTGTTTTGCCTGCTATCAGGCCATCGATAAAATATGTGCGTATGGAATCTTTGCCACTTAGAACATATCGTCTGAAAGAAATTGAAGACATTGGAAGAAATCAATGCTAAAAATTTAGAACTTAAAAATAATGAATAAAACCATGAACTGTGTCTTGGACGGATGAGGAAAAGTTCTCAGCATTTTTTGCGGAACGAGCAATGTAACATGATGTGAATAAAGCAATAAATGTACTAAAAAATTGTGACTTCACAGTATATATCAGAAATTGAATTATCAAGCCTGCTAATTAAGAAATTATTGAAAAAAAGCTCGAACCGAGATCGAATACTAGTAACGAATGCTTTTGCCGCTTCTTCGTCCTTCACTATGGGTTGAGCACCATGATGTGGAACAAAAACAATGTCAAAATAAAGTGGTTGAGACAGTTTGGGTTTCATTTTCATTCCATTAGCTATCTTTGCACGTGTGCGTGGGGTAGTTGTCATTGTCATCGGTGGAAGATACAGTTCTTTTGCATTTACTTCCTCGTACGTATCTTGATACTACATAATGATATTAAAATGATAAATATATAAATTGGCATTAGTTTAAATAGCTAAATTTTCACCAACAAATAAAACTTCCTTTGCTGTTTGTAGATGGAATTTCAATAATCAAAACTACTTCGTTTAATTTCAAACTGATCATAAAAAATGCTAACAATAATAAGAGACTTTATAAACTTTATCTCAATTAGTAAACTAATTATTTGAGATAGCTATCAAATGGCTTTAAGACTTTGAGAGGATAAATTTGTTGCAAACGAGAACGTACTGCAAGTGCTTTTGTATTATCATTGACATCATGAGCAATGCTTGTGATTTCGTTATTTGTGAAATCTACTGACTGTTCCACAGAGGTAGCACACGTTGCAGCTGTTCCTGTTGCTAACTCTACATTATTGCACAGCCCAGCCAGGGAATGCTTAACATGATGTTCAAGTTGTTCGGACATATTTTCTGCATTATCAACCATTTCAGATGCATCTGCCAATGACTCAATTACCTCATCAAGAACTGGATCCGGCTAAAGACCAACTACATGGAAATACAACTACAAATCTCAGTAATTATATAAATAAAAATTTATGAAGCACTTTATCAACGCTAAAGTCAAAATAAATATGAAGTTTACAAAATGTGATAATTCACAGTAGGAAACAAATTTTGATCAACGTTGACATAATGTGTATAACCTGTAGAAAAGTAAAAGATCAGAAACTGAAAATTCTAACATATTACATACTTGGGCATTGACAGAGTCACTTGAAATATTACTTCGTAGCGAAAACACTTCCCGCTGAATACCAGGCAATATCTGCGGCTGAAACAACATAACTTCTATAGTTTTGCACTCAAATTTTTAAATGCAGTAAATTCAGAAAATTTTTAGTTCAGTGTTAAAATACATAATACATGCAAGCTATAAGTCATGGTTTGCAAAAAATGTATTAAAAAATATCTTAAAAGCCAAACCTTTTTGTTTTCTACATCATCGCTTTTCCAACTATGTTCAGGTTCTATTTTTCCTTCATTGAGCTCATTCAAAGACTGTGTACTCAAAGACTCAGATTTTTTAGATCCAGCATCCTTCAATTCGGTCAACTGAAATACTATGTCCTTAGTTCAAAATTTTCATTCCCATGTTAATTCCTTAAAGAGCACTAATGATTCGAGTTAACGTATGATATTGCTTATTGTTTGTTATTTCCATTTTTAAGATGATTTCTTGCAAGAATGCATACTTATATACATATGTAAATACGCTCAGTTCCATATACAGGTAAATTATGATTCGCCATTCGTTATCAATAAATTAAGCACAATATTATAAAGCCAAAAATGACCAGCACAATCCTAGCATACCTCATGTAGCGCAGTAGGAGTGTCGTCAACAATGCCCGTAATTAGGCCAGCCATAAACGGACTTGTTCCTGAACCCAAGAGATCTATAAGAAACATCATTTCATATCATCACAGCGACGAAAGATTTTACTAAATAAAAAGAAATTAAAGTTACCTTGAATACTTTTCTTACGCATATCCTCCTGATTATAAATACCTGCATCCTCATCATCGTTCGTTATTTCTTCTTTTGAAAGTAATACTTGTAAAGAATCGCACATCTCTCCAACAGGTACAATTCCTGAGGCTGGTGGTGTAGAATCAAGGAGTAATGTATCCTGCGGCTGTAGGGAAGAATCTATTAGATTTAATTTTGGTTCACGTGGTTCCTAAAACCATAAAATTTATCTTATATATAATGATGATTTGTAACATATTTTTCTAGCGCAAATAAACTTAATACTAAAATAAGACAAATCTTTAAGAAAAAACATATTTACCACTTTTTCTTTACTGTTTTCATCCATTTCTTCACTCTCATTCACAAAATCCATGCTAATCTTTCGCAATTTCACAGGTTCTTCAATACCATCGAGCAAATTGTTATCATTAGCAACTTTTTCGGCAAATGGACTTCCAGATCTCTGTGAATCTTCAGAATGCAAAGGACTTTTACTTTCTCCACTCAAAGAAACTTCAGATGGGGATAAATCAAGTGAACTCTGCATGCCTTCCGTCGATGGCAAATCAGCGCATAAAACTGGATTCTTGATGGGTGAGTTGATAATTTCGACATTTGCTGGGACCGAATCTGAGTTCTGAGCTTTTTCCTTTAAATAATAATGAAAATAAGAAACCGAACCAACTTTTAATGAAGGAATTTCATATTATATTTATTATTTTAAATTAAAACCAATGAGAAAGTAGTAAAAATAAAATTACATAAGACAAAATGGGTTTAGCTTCCAATTTATTTGTTGACTTTGCTTCTGCTATTTCTCTCGCTTTTGACTTAGTGGTGAGGACCCCAGTTCTCTTCGTCTCATTAGACAAAGCTGACTTGATTATTTTATTTTCCGCTGACTTATTACCCGTATGTGCTTTTGCCAACTGCATTACAGGTTTCTTGGAATTCGCAGTAACACGTGAGGGCAAAGAACTACTAAGTGGTGGCCTGAATTATCAAATATTTGAATTCCAGGTTAAGCAAGGAATGCATATGAAAATATTTCGAAGAAAAAATTCTATTTTAAGCACTAAAAACGTTACCTAGCTGTTTTCTTCAACGGCTCACGGATACTAGAAGTCGTCGATTGGGTTGGAATATTTCGTGCAGATGGCAAACGTGGAACAATTTTTGCTACAATGATCGAAAAAGTAACTAATTTTAAAATACTATTAAAAAAAGCAAACTATGAAAAAAAATCGTATTCTCAAAAAATAAGCTTAGATACATACCATAGTAAGACACAGTTGATTAGGTATTTAAATTTTTGGATAAAATATTTTTTGCGGTATTCAATTTAACTTTGATTGCACTCTAACTTCTGAATATTTTGAATCGTATTTTTACTTCAGTAGTAATAAATACTTTAAACTATAATTTCGAACTGAAACATGAAGTTTGGACTCTTAAGCAGTATTTCAAAATAGTTGATATAAACACATACTAGTCGAAGAATTACGACCAATTCTACTCAGTCGAACATTGGATGATTTATCCTTCGCAGCATGTGTAAATTGCGGATAACGCAAATATTCTTCGCTTTTTAATTTTTCCAGTGATGCATAAAGCTTTTCTAATGGACAAGCACCTAAACATTTTTAGTAGTCAAAAATTAACAAAACTTTTATTAAAACTAGTGCTGCTTACGTTTTGTATGGTACTTAAAATAAGTACTTGAAACATATCAAACTCTTGAAATTTTTGAACTATTAAGACTGATTTTAAAAGACTTTGAAAAACATTCCTACCAGTGATAAGAATGCGTGATACCGGAAGTGTATGATCTGATGGATGCCAAACTAACAGAAGAGCAAGTGATGTTAAGGCAGCAAACTTTTCAATATCGATATCAGTTTTTAAAGCATTTACAAGTGAAGTAAGATCTTTGGTACCACGTTCCGGATTTAGAACGATCATGCGTAAGGCGCCTTCTCCAATGACCTAAAAGCATAAGCTATTTGATACGATTGGTATTTAAACAGCTTTTATTGGTGGACAAATAAAAAGCTCAGAATGAAAAGTTGCACATTTACTCGAAGTTCAAACAAACACTATAAAAAATCACCCAGACTTTTGAACTAAGTCCCTGAACCATGACATTTGGACTACTGACTCTATGAAGAAAACTATTTATCAAAAGTATAATCAAAAGAATTAAGGTTTCATGCAGAACAGCAATCGAAAATCTACAGAGCTCAACAGTTTGCTAACCTCATATAACGTAATTGCTTCCATTTTGGAAGTAGCAAAAGCTTCTATAGGTTTCAAACTTTCTGCTCGTAGACCCTTGTGCATTCCAGACAGAACTTTTGCTGCTTCACTATCTCCATTTACAACATTTGGAGGAGGTAAATTGCAAATTATAGAACCAAAATTGGGATGGCACTAAAATACTAATTTCTTGTCCTTTTTTTGGAGAATCTTCTTAAAATTAAACAAAAATTAGACAAAATACTGTAATAAAATCAAAACCAAAAATTTATCGTAAGTGCAAAGTGCGAAGATAGCTGAAGTACAACCTTGACTGCTTTTAACTATCATTAAAATATCATCTATAATTTTAATGAATATAGAAAATACTACAAAAACTATTACTGATACATATCTTGAAAAATTTACTCAATGTTCTTTTTTTTTATTTTCTCTCCTTTTTTTCATTTATTTGATATTACTAACTGATATGCACAGTTTAAATGTATGTCGTTGCACGGTGTTCTAGTCATAAAACTACAAAGTTAATTTTTATAATATACAAATTAATCGAGAGAAAACAGTGAAAAAATGAATATAAATAGTTCAATACCTCCTCCAAGCATTTGCGCATAAAAATTGCTGAAATTCCGAGCAAACATTTTGGACTAATCCGAGTAACAACAGCTGCTGATACTGAAGTAAAAAGATTTTTGAATACATTTTGTGTTTCATATTTAAAGATATTTAGTAATATCAAGTGATAAAATTGGTTATAATATTAATGAGAATAATCAGAAGCTGATAAAAAATTAAGCTGATAAAAAATTTATACTGCTGATACAACTAAAAGTTCACAAAAATCTACAAGAAAAAGTTATATGGCAGAAATTTTGAGTACCATATAAACATAATGATAGTCATCTAGTTGACCTACAAATACTTTTTTTTAAATGGACGTTAATTAATGTTAGCGTTAATCAACGAAGTGAAAAAAAATAGCACGGTTGCTTACTTTTATCATAATTCCTAATTAAATTCCAATATGAGACATCTTTTCTGTCACCACCATCTAAAAGTATTGAAAAACCGTTCACAGAGAAAAATGCTGCATCTTCATTACCACCGGAAAAAACATACATCAAAGGACGACGAGTACGAATACTTCCAACAGAATGGCCAGCAGGCAAAAGCTGTACCAAATCTTCGTCTAAAACTTTTTTTAAAATTAAATCGGAGTTCAATTAAAATTTTGTAAATTGAAATTTGTATAAATAAATGTACAGTCATTAATTTTACAGCAATCACAGACACAGACTTGAATTAATGGTTTGAAATTTGCGAACATTTACAGATTTTTAATATACCCTTCAATGATCGCAATATCATCAGCAATCCTAAATATGGTTGGTTAACCATTGCAGGACTTACTAATGTAAATATAATTTCAGTCATGTTCATTTCTATGACTATCTAGTCATCATGTCTACAGAAAACTTTTAACCTTGAATCATTGTACTTGCTTCTCGTGCTTAATATAGCTACTGCAAGGTACAGTCGTTTGATATTATTTGATTAGTCTCTGAGATGACCTGAAGTTAAAATTATCAAATCTAATCAAATACCTGAAAATTTCAGCATAAAAACGGCGAATTTCAGCAATACATTTCTGTAGTAGTCTAAATTCAAAAATTTAATTGTAACAATCGTAAGTAAAAACATATAATTAAGACAGAACACCATTTAAAATACCTGAACTTAATTATTAAAAAGATGTAAGTATAACTCAAGATATAAAAAGATATTACCTACCGTAAATTTTGATCAAAAAACTGAGAACGCACGAAATCGAAAATTTCCACTCGCAACAATTACAGTAAGCATATTGACAAGGACGGATTTCAATTTTGATTTTAAAATTGCAAAGGTGTACAGTGATCTCTACAGTATTTTTATATTAACAACATTTATTGCCACTTCTAATAATACTCTTTTCCTTCACTTTTTCATATTATCTCTTCCATACACTGATTTGTCGGCATTAAAGAGCTCATATTTTCTACGGCCCACTTATGTACTATGCATTTAATTCTAGGAAAAAATTGAAAAATATTTCATTTAGTTTAGAAAATATGAGTGAGGAAGGGAATGAACAAATAATGCGTACACTATTTTAAAATTTAAAATAAAATATGTCAAGTTTATCATCCATTATTTTTTTTCATTTTGAACTTTAAAAGCAATCATTTTTGCACAAAATACTCCACTATTGGTTTGGGAATTGAAGAAATGTAAGCAAGTAAATTGCTTGTATTTTTCTTTGTTTTCTGATTTTGTCGTAGATTTTTAAGACATAAAAATTTCTCAGAATGCTAAAATATTAAATAAAATTGTATTAAATGTTTGAATACGAAGTTAGTCATTTCGAATTTTTCAGGTTTAAAATTACAAATTAATTATTCTTTGATCTAAACCATTTTAATTTAGTCTTACTTGTTTGAAAACTTAACTGCAATTTAGGACAGATTTTAAATTAATTTGAACTGCCTAACTCACACAATTAAAATATAATATGCAAGAATAAAATCAGGCATTGAATCAGAACAAAAGATCTGCTAAAATTCATGCGAATAACTAATTTATCACATTTTAATCGACACACAGCCTGTTGTTAATTTGCATAATTTGTAATGATCGCTTACATTTTTTTAAAAATTTTTTTAAAGAATTTTTTAGAAAAAATTATTTTATGTCAGTGTGATTCAACGATTTTTTGGAATTATTCATTTACATTTATAAAAACATTTTTTAATTTTAATCTTATGAATTTTCAAAAATTTTTTTACATTATGTAAATTATCTTTCAAAAATAAAATTAACAGAAAAGCGCATCACATTTTATGTTCAAAAAGTAAGAAGTATATTAATGGTAGATTATTTTGATCACTTTTTGTAGTCTTTGATTTGTATGTAAACAAAACAGTCATCTAAGATCAGTTAGTGATCTTTTATTGAGCTATCACTTGTTGTGTACTTTTGAAGACTCAGCAAAGTATTTAAATCATTAATGAATTCCATAATAGAGCGCACTAATAAGCAGTATAATAATATTTGAAAATATAGCTAAGCCAAGCAAAAGTTTATAACTCGTAAAAATGCAGAAATGAGAGTAGACATTTTCTTTTCGTTTAACTCTTCAATTGTTAGTCTCTTTCTCTGTTGAACATTTTGCGAACTTTAAGGCAAACAAAT